TTGTTAGCCAAATTGAGAGGGAAGAAGAGAGTCACAAATAGAAAGGATTAGGGAATTTGGATAGTAGGTTGATTTTGGGATTAGTTTGTCATTTTGTGGAAGAGTTAAGCATCTTGAATGCTTAGTAATTCTTTATATTTTTTCAATCAACAGTAATATAATGTAGTCCATATTTTTTTCCTATCAGTTCACCTTCTTTGACTGTTAAAATTTATTGTTATGGACTTCTGTTTCAGGTATTTTTGATGAAACCGGAAAGCTTTTGGGCTCTTCTAGCAGCCCGATACAAATTTGGAAAGATGGAAACTTTATTGAGGTAATGTTAATAGTGAGTTGAGCTTGATCAGTACCAAACGGATCAAAATTGCATTGTACGTTAACGTAGCCAACATGAACCCATCAATAATATATCTCAACCTGTCAAACCATTGTCAAAAGTTGCAACATTTTAGTAGAAATCTTATCATTGTATTCTTTTAGTAGGAAAGTTTCAAAATTTTATGACAGCTTGCTTCTGCCCATATAGCAATATAACAACAAATAGTATAAATGTCCTGCCCAAAGTATGTGGGGCATGCATGATTATTTATGAGCTTTCCATTTCAAACCAGCAATCCTCGACAGATATCTGGCATGCAGTCTGTGCTGCAGTGAAATCAGCATGCTCCAAGGCAAATGTCTCGGGGGAGGAAGTGAAGGGTCTTGGATTTGCTGCTACCTGCTCACTTGGTTTGTATGCTTCTAGTTGGTAATTTTATCTTGTCTATTTAATGACCGACAAAATCATGAGACAATAATTCCTTCTTTAATTGGCATTTGATATGTATTGCACAAGATTGCCTTGCAAATTTTAATTCGAAATCATTTATCTGCAGTTGCTGTTGATGCTGATGGTTCTCCAGTTACAGTATCTTGCAGTGGGGATTCAAGAAGAAACGTAATAGTGTGGATGGATCATAGAGCAGTAGAGCAGGCTGAAAGAATCAATTCTTTCAATTCGCCAGTACTACAGTACTGTGGTGGATCTCTTTCCCCTGAGATGCAGCCACCGAAGGTACTTGTTTGATCCCATTGTTATTTTTTGTGCTATACATATTTGCTTCCGGTTTCTCATGATCTATTTCTATCATTAAATTTTCTGTGATTTCTCTTATACAACAAACTCTATAAGATTGTCTTGATTAGATTTTCCGAGTGTAATAAATGTTTTTAGATCAGGATAACTTTTCTTTGAGCTTAATTCTCACAGTTCTGCTTTTCAACTTTCTTATTTAACACTCATGGTTCCACTTTCTGTTTTTATGTTCTATATTCTGGTATTTGACTATTGAGATGAAGTGCATGATATGCCTTTCTTTACAGATTCACAGTCATGGAATATGCTATGATACAGATTATTTTTGCAGCTTCTCTGGGTGAAAGAAAATTTATCAGATACTTGGTCAATGGTGTTCAGGTGGATGGACTTGAGTGATTGGTTGTCATACAGGTAACAAGACAGCTGAAACTCTTACTTTTGTTTAACCTTAAGTTCCAACACCCTTCTTTCTTATGGTCATTACCTGCTTGTTCTAGGGCGACTGGTGATGATACACGCAGTCTTTGCACCACTGTGTGCAAATGGACCTATCTTGGTCATGCTCACATGTCACAATACAATGAAAAGGATTCCCGAGATATGGAAGCTTGCGGATGGGATGATGATTTCTGGGAGGAAATTGGATTAGGAGATCTTATCGATGGCCATCATGCAAAAATAGGTCTGAACGAATTACTTGTAAAAATATTTTGGTTTTGGGTGTTTTTATTCATGAAATACTTAAAAATTCCAGATCCTGCCTGACATGTCCTGAGAGCAGAACTACCTTTTTCTGTGCTTCAACTATCTTTCCCTCTGTCCTCATTAATCTCCCTAGGGAAATTTTAAACTTTTTTTCTTGATATATGTTTGTATCAAATACTCCTGTCTATAATGTTCTTTTGAAAGAACCCAAAAAAAAAAAATCTCTTTGATAATGAACTTTTGATAGCAAAGGAAGTTTCTCATCAAGTATGCATATGTGATTGTACTTGATTACCCCTATATTTTTGTTTATTGTACCAATACCATAAAACTGGTTTAGTTGTGCAGCTTAATTGTGATTTTACAAAGTTGACAATGTATAATGTCATTAGGAAGAAGTGTAGCATTCCCTGGTCACCCATTGGGTTCTGGTCTGACTCCAGTGGCTGCAAAGGTAAGAAATATTGTACTAAAAGATTTTGACTTGGTTTGAATTCTGAAAACTCCTTATGTTAGCAAACATGCATGTATAATCAATGATAATGTGGGGGAAAGGAGAATTTGCTCTGGAGTTTTAAACAGTTCGTCAAAAAATTCAATATTAAAGTTCTTACCCAAAAAAAAAAAAAAATTCAACATTAAAGTCATTTTTAATTTGATTGAATTGTTGTTCTTTATGCTTATCAGGAACTAGATTTGGTTGCTGGAATCCCTGTCGGTACTTCATTGATTGACGCTCATGCAGGTGGAGTTGGGGTGATGGAAAGTATACCTCTGCAAGATTCTGATTCTGAAGGTTGTGGCTTATCCTATATATTTTCATCATTTTCCTTATTATATTTCCTTCTTTCATATTGGAAATAACTGTTGTAGAGTTGGACAAGGAGATGATATTGCATCGCATGGCATTAGTTTGTGGAACATCTACCTGCCATATGGCTGTCTCAAGGAATAAGCTCTTTATTCCTGGGGTTTGGGGACCGTTTTGGTCAGGTATGCTTGAAATTAATTCCAATTATTTCGTCTAGTTTTTCATTTTAAATATTGGCCTGTTAAAAGGAGGATAGGGGACTATGTTCTAACTAGGACGATTAAAATGCTTGTACCATCATAACTTGTATGGATATCTTTTGTGCCAATTACTCCTAATACAGTCAACAATGTATTATTTTCCCATGATTGTTTCTTAGTTTAGATCTATTATATTAAATATATATTTCTTTCTTAGCTCAGGAAAGAGTGAACTGTTTTATTGCAATATGCCATTCTAATCCCACAACTGTAGTTTGTATTACAGCAGTTTTTTTTCTTATTGTAATCATGCAATTGCTAATTTTGCCATAAAATGTTTTATAAAAAATATATATATCATATATTATTTTTCTGAATGTCAGCTATGGTACCCGAGTACTGGCTCACGGAAGGTGGTCAAAGTGCCACTGGTGCTCTACTTGATCACATAATTCAAAATCACGTTGCCTCTCCAATTCTTGCAAATCGTGCTGCTTCGAAAAGTAGGACTCATCTGCGACTTATTTTATTTAATGTTAATGTATCTAATGCTTGTGTCTAATCGGGAATTTTGTATCTTTTTTTAATCTTAATCTTTCAGGTACTTCTGTGTTTGATATTTTGAACAAGTTGTTAGAGAGTTTGATGCTTGATATGAAGAGTCCCTTCCTTGCTGCTTTGACTGAAGATATACACCTACTTCCTGATTTTCATGGAAATAGGTGAATGGATAGACTGAAGCATTCGCTGAGTAATTTTTCCAAGAGTTTTTTTCTTCCTCTCCCTTCTAGCGATTGTCAATTAACTTGATTGCATCATGAATTAGGTCCCCCATTTCGGATCCGAAATCAAAAGGAGTGATCTCTGGCTTAACACTTGACACAAGTGAGCAGCAGTTGTCTATTTTGTACCTTGCCACAGTACAGGCTATTGCATATGGTACACGCCATATTGTGGAGCACTGCAATGCCAATGGTCACAAGGTATGATGAACTGATATCTTTTTCATTTTTCCTCGACAAATGGGATTGGATATTTGCTAATGGTACAATTTGTTATGTATATATTTTTAGTTAGTTGTATGTAGACTATACTTTCTCTTCAATCTGATTTACATTTTGTTTACTGCTTCTAGCCTTCAGATTGTGGAGTTCTCTGAATTTGCTTGTATTTACTTCACATAACTTTCTGGTGATCTCTTGTTATGTTAGAAAGTTCCTTCTAATCAATAAATTCTGAGTTTAGGCACCCCACCATCCCTTTCATGTAACTTGGTCAAGCTCCTAGTTGACTGCTGCAAATAAACTTTTACCAACTGAACTTCGCTTTCTATTTTTTTTTGGACTAAAACCGATCTTTCACGGACTAAAATAAAGTAATGCAAAGGGGGCTTACGAAAAACCGCAATCCCGAGAAGGGAGCCAAAACAACCAATGATTAAACTTCATTGTAATGCTACTGGTATTTCATTCTCTTTATCCACCCAAAAGGGTAATTACAAAAACTCATTAGAAAGAGCTATTCAACGTGAAGCATTGAACTCAACCCAATCCCAAACTTCACACTCTAAATGGTTTTGCTTGTATATGTAGAATGTCGTTATGCAAATGTTGTCTTTGAAGTGGTTCTTGGGCAAAAGTTATATAATGGTCTCGCATCATGCCTTCTCAATTTTTTTTTTCTACACTTTATGGTTTGTTTCAAGTATTGCTCCTTATTTCTATTTCTTTTCCAACAGATTGACACCTTGCTTGCATGTGGTGGCCTTGCGAAGAATTCATTGTTCATTCAGGAGCATGCGGATATTATTGGTCGCGTCTCACCTCTCCCTCTTTCTGATATTTTTTTAGATTTGATTGTATTTGCATCCTGAAGAACCAAGTATTTTGGACTGCTTTTTCCAATAGGTTGAGATAAATATGATCTCACTGGAAGTCTAGAACTATATCCTCAAAGCAACATATACCACAAATTAAAACCTCACTATTTTGATTTTATACCTTGGCGATTTTGGTGATTGAGCAGGTTGTCCTATTATTTTGCCTCGGGAAAGTGAGTCCGTGCTCTTAGGTGCAGCAATTCTCGGAGCGGTTGCTGCTAGAAAATATTCTACCCTGCAAGAAGCCATGAAGGCCCTGAATGCTGCTGGTCAAGTATGCACCAAATATCCTTTCCTTATCTTATACGGCCTAGTTATTTTCTTCCCAAACAGAATAAGCAAGAACAGTAGTTGGATCACTTGAACAGAGGACATTGAAGATGTTAACCATTGAACTTTTGTTTCGATTGACAGGTGATTTATCCGTCGTCAGACCCAAAGGTGAAGGTATACCATGATGCTAAATACCGTATTTTCCGAGAGCTTTACGAGCAACAGTTGTCTCATCGCTCCATAATGGCACAAGCTCTGGCATAGCTGATATAGTTCGGTATCGAAACACACACACTTCCATCTTGCTCCATTTGTTTCTGTTTTTGAGTTTTTCAAGCTCTTGCTTGCTTTGCTTCAACAGCCTTCTAGATTTACCTTTCTGGTGATGGCTGGCCAGCATGGGAAGTGAAATAAGGAAACATCTCCACAGTTCTGATACTGGTACTGTCTGTAGATAACTTGAACATGTCAAGATTGTTTCTATTGGCAGATCTCTCTCTCTCTGTTGCCAATAAACTATTCTTTCATTGAAATACTCTGCCCCTCTCCCTCTCTCTCTCTCTCTCTCTCTCTCTCTCTCTCTCTCTCTCTCTCTACTACCACTGCTAATACCTCTTAGTGTAGAGGAAGAAATTGATTAATGAGTAGAAGTATAGTGGTCAGAATAAAACAAATGAATACATAACCAAAATGTTAAGAAGTTAACAGAAAATGATGCATACTTACAAAGGAAGTCATAGAACTAAGTGGCCAACACTCTTTGGATCTGCAAGAACTTTATCTTGTTAGTGGAGTAATCTGGGTTTAGATATCTACAAATATAAACAAAAGAAGATTACTATTATCTTTTTTGAATTTTATATCCATGTTAACATTCAATATCTATCACAATCAATTTATGTAGCTTCAATGCATGCCCCAACATATTAATACACGTTTAAGGTCATGTCATCCATTTATTAAGGAATTGATGACTATATAACAATAAGGATTCAAATTAGAAAAAATATATATTGTTTGGCAAAGAAAAAGGCATTTGGAAAATTTAGAAATTTAAGTAAAATGTTTATAAGTCTAATGATTGATAAAATAAAATTGAAAATATATGAATTTAAAATGGGGGTTTTTTTTTTTTACAAAATTTGAAATGAGATTTAAACTATTAAGCTTGAGTAAAGTATAGCATAATTAGGGTATGGTTAAAATAACATGTGTATTTTATTGCACAAATCACATGAAACAAGCGCAAATTCTAAAATCCTTGCAATACAAACATCACTGTTCAAGCATGTCAAACATCTAAACTTCCTATAAAGATACAACTCAAACCCGAGATTTTGTATCATATAAAAAGACTTTTATTGATATGAGAACAAATGTCAAGAAGTACTATCTCCAAGGAGCAGCCTCATTTACATTAGTGAGCTTAATATTAAAACTCTTGGTCCACTTAATATTAAAACTCTTGGTCCAGGTCTTGGGGGTGGCGGCCGCGGGGGACAAAGCTCCGATTTCAGGTCATAACAAAAAATAATAACACCCTTCCCTCCCCTTATATTCCAACTAAAAGAGTTATCTGTAACTTGCTTTGGGACTGGATTAAAGCTTTCCCCTCCCTAATATGGTAGTTCCATTCATCAAAGAAATTCGTTTCCTCTAAAATAAAAATATATTAAATGAAATATTTCATTACCTACAACCAATCTCCAATTGAAACTTACAAAGAACAGAATAATGTTGCAAGATTATGGGACTTCAGTTCTCGCTGTTGATTGTACACCCCTCAAAGATGCATTACAAATCTCTAGTTATAAGTTCAAATCCATTCTTTAACTGAGAAAAAAGTCACCTGATTCATCTCCAACAAATGTTGTGTATAAAGGCAATTATAATCTAAAAGAGATGTCTCAAACAGGTAACTGAGCTCTAAATCGCCAGTGTTCCACATTAAATAGGAAAAAATGAATAAAACAAGCCCATACAACTTTTGCATCAGCGCCCGACTCTGTTACATGTAAAGTCCCTCTGGAACACCCTCTTTCTTTTTGAACATAACCTTCTCCTTTGCTTTCTTAAAGTCTGCATGAGTCACCTGAAGTACAAAGAGAGTCGGAGACATGTCGATCAGCCGAAAGCATACCAACCAGCATTTTAATAAGTATGCATACCACAGGACAACCCTCATTGTGTAACTACCAATCTTCAGATTACACATATATCAACTTTATGGCTGGCTAAATGCACTATGTTTATAGCTAGAAAATAAATTATAAATTTAACGTTCAAGTATATTAGTTGTTATGTACGATAGTATTACCTTCATTCTACGTTCTCTTAGAGCAAGCAAGCCAGCTTCTGTGCAAATTGCTTTGATATCAGCCCCAGAAAACTCATCTTTGGTCATTACAAACTCTTCTAAGTTCACATCGTCAGCTAGCGTCATCCTTGATGTATGAATCTACATTATACGCACAGTGGCATTATTAATAGAACTATATGGTAAAAAACAGCCAGTTGGGCGGAGGGGGTGTTGGGTTTATTCATGCAAGTGGGTATTTGAAGCACCTGAAAAATGCGACGTCTTGTTTTTATATCTGGAAGGGGAAATTCAATCTTCCTGTCTATTCGTCCAGGTCGTAAAAGGGCAGGATCAAGGCTTTCAATTCTATTTGTAGCAAGAATCACTTTGACATCTCCTCTTGAGTCAAACCCATCCAGTTGGTTCAGTAATTCAAGCATAGTCCTTTGGATCTCGCGCTCGCCGCCAGAATGTGCATCATACCTGGCCAATGAGTGAGACATGCAATGTAATTACGACTGCTGCTTGAATACAAGATAGAGAACATCAAATGCCACGATAATTTCCATTAGAATAATAACCTCTTTGTACCAACAGCATCAATTTCGTCGATGAATACAATTGATGGGGAAAGATCATCTGCAACCCTAAAGAGCTCCCTGACTAATTTAGGCCCATCTCCTAAGTATTTCTGGATCAGTTCACTTCCAACCACACGCAAGAATGTAGCTGAAGTGGAGTTTGCCACTGCCTGAAGACAATCAAGTTAATAACACAGTTAAAGTCAAGCACAACTGATTGCAGCAAACACTTCGCTGCAAATTCAAAGAGTAAAGAACTCACCCATCAATTGGCATCTAGCCAAGAATCAGGGAACGAATCTAACTTGGGGAGCAAATACAAAACTTCAAACAGCCATTTCACTTGGCGTGAGAGTAGAATAAATATTACAGAGTTGCTAAATCAATACCCATCCTCTTATCCAGAGTAAATACAAGAATTCTGTGTGATTAAATTAATAGTTACCTTAGCAAGCAATGTTTTCCCGGTCCCTGGCTCCCCGTAAAGTATGACTCCTTTGGGGGGTTTAATTCCAATGTCTTCATATAATTCAGGATGAGTAAGAGGAAGCTCTACTGCTTCTTTAATCTCCTGGATCTGAGCATCTAAACCACCAATATCAGCATAGGATTCCAATGGAGCCTTCTCAACCTTCATAACAGATACCATGGGGTCGACCTCATCTTGAAGAAGCCCAACGACAGAAAGGACCTGAGAAAAGCGCAAAAAAAACCATCCACATTTCAGAAAGCAGAAGGAAATTCACAACAAGACGCAATATTTCACTTCACCGTAGACAAAGTCCAAATTTTCCCCAGCTCGGTGTCATCATGAAACCTAGTCTAGGGATCATTTTTTGTTCAATTTTTCTCGAAGCGAATTCACCCTAATTTGGAATTCTCCCCCATGGGAAATTGATGTTAAAAACACACGAATGAGAAGAATGCAACAACTTGTTAACCTAGAATCGAAGAGCAACTAAAAATAAGTAGACAAATTACAATTCTTCAGCATTTTCCGATTAGGGCGACGAAACATAGCCAGATTAAGAACCCTAACAAAACCTCACCTTGTTGTGCATAAGAATGGCACATCCAGGCTCGAGCTGGTCTTTATCAACAAACGACAAGATCCCCACATAGTACTCCGGACCGACGGACGAGGAAACAATCGCATGATTCTCATCAATCAGCTCCTCCAGATTGCCAACGCTCATCGGCGAGCCACGCAGGTCATCGACCTTAGATCTATCTTCTTCATTCTTTTCCTCCTGGGGCTTCAAGCGCTCCTGATTGGCAACGAACTCCTCCTCCATGAGCAAATAGTCCTTGACTCGCTCGAGCTTGAGAAGGCGGAGCTTGCACTTGGTGTGGGGGGTGACCGTCGGGAGGCGGGCGGCGGCATCGGGGCCCTTCTGCTTCCGCTGCTTGCGGCCGACGCGGGAGGGAGGGGCGGCCGGCTCGAATTTCTTGTCCTTCTTGTTGGGATCGTCTTGCTTCCGGTCGCCGGGAAGACCCCCCTGCCGGTTGAGTCCGCCGGGTGTGCCCTGACCCATTTTTGCTCCACAGTGCTGAGTGTGAGAAGAAACTGAGAAGAGATGTGAAAAAGGGGAAAGTTTATGCCAATGCTGCTCACAATCGCTGGATTGTTGCCCAAGAATCCTTCATTTAACAAAAAAAAAATGGCACAAATTTTCTACTTATAAAGCTTTTTTTTCTCTCTTTTATTATTATTTTTTTTAATTATTAGTAGCGATTCGAACCACTTTTTTTTGTTTTATAGATGTCTTAACCAGTTAAGTTATGTTTAGATTAACCATTAATACAAGCATTTCAAATTTTAAAAACTAACTACGTGAACATAACTCAACGATTAAGATATTTGTTGAATCGAAGGTTAAGGTTAGTTTTTAAAGTGAGGTTCGTTTTATTACAAATTTAGTCTTATGATTTTATCTATTTAGTTTCTAAATTTTGTTTAGTATAATAATGTGGAGATGAAGATTGAATTTTCGAACTAAGCAAATACCCTAACTTGTATTAGGCTTATGTTAGCTAGCTTCTAAATTTTTAAATGTTTATATTAATGGCCTTGAATTTTTAAATTTTGATTTGATATAGTATGTCATTGTAAATTAACTAATGATATGGTATGTCTATTCAACAAAATTGGATTGATTTGGCATATAATGTAGGCTAAATATATGTTTAAGTTTTCAATTAGTTTCAATGATTTTAAAAGTTTTTTAATTTATCTATGTTTTAACATTTCTCCAATTATATCCTTGAGGAATTATAAATTTTTTTATATCTCTAAGGAGTCTAATTTTCCTTCTAGATTTTTGTTAATTTAACTAATTATTATGTGACGTAAACTATTTTTTTAACCAAATTTCAGACTCGCATTAGCAATTAATATAACTAGTAAAGCCACTCGTTGCACCATGATCGAGGTGGGAGATATGGCTTTCTACCGATAGATAAATAAAATGAAATTTCTATAAAGATACTATAATGTGTAACTATTTAATTGAGGAAAATCTCATATTCAAATGGTGAGGGTTTAGATTTTGGTGAATTTAGCTTAAGATGTAGAGCTCATGTCTGCATAAAATTGCTCTCCCTATTCCCACTCGTGCAACACAATTTTTTTTAAACTTACGACTTCCTAAGCCTACACAAAATACATTGAGTTCCCAAACTAAAGCTTCTTATCCTAGTACCTTTTGCAAATCTTCAAAGGGGTTTCGTGATTGGGTGTCCAATAAGATGATATAATAAAACAGGAGTGGACTTCGAGAGTAGTTTATGAAATGAATTCCTCGTATAGTTCTTTTATACTTTTTGAAAAGTAAACTATCCTATAGGTATAGAGCAAACACATATAAGAAGAAGTGATACGTCTTGCGAGTGTAAGGTGGAAAGGAAATATATAAGAAAAGTGAACCATTAAACAAGTATAAGGTAGACATGTAGAAAAAGTTTATTATTTATTACTATTATTATTATTATTTTGGTTTTCTTATAGCTCCCTTAGAGGTTGGGGGAAGCGTCTAAAGTCTACTCACTTCGCTCATCTACTAAGTAACAAACTAATTGGCCATGACCTAAAAATGGTGTTAAAAAAATGGGGGAATCGGTAAAATGGTAATTCCCATGGTGAACCATATTTCCATCATTTTTCTTTCGAGAATTGGTCCAAAGTTTACTAGGGAAGAGCCGAAACATAATCAACTTGAATTCGGGAAACTCTGCATTCTATTTCTTGTGATTTTGAAACCTCACGTTTTTGGTCCACATCGTCAATTGTATGAAAATTTTGCCAGCACAACCAAACAAATCATTTTAAAGATTAAAAGTATTTTTTGCCTTTTCAAAATAACATCAAACACACTCCTAAAAGAATCCATGTTTGGTAATGTTCTCATTTTTTCATTGTTTCTAATTTTTTTTAGAAACGTAAATGTTTGATTGTTGTTAATGTTTCTCATTTTTCATTTCTCATTTTTAAGAAACGTATAATTTTGGAAACAACAAAATTGAGTTTCTTGTTTTTTTGTTCCTGTTACCAATTTGTCTTCAATATATAAATCATTTAAAGTATTATTTTATCATTCTTGACTTATAAAAAGCATGATAAATATTATAAAATAAATATAACATAAAAGTTTGAATTTTTAATTAAAATTTTTTATTTTTTAATTTAAAAAATTATAAAACGAGAAATAAGAAAGGGTTACCAAACATGTTTATGTTTTTTTTAATAAAAAATAGTTACCAAAAGCAATTATATTTTTCATTTATTAAAAAACAAGAAATAGAAAGCTCATTTTGTAATGTTGTTGATTCTTTATGTATTTCAACCTTTTTTAATAAAGAAAAACATGGTTTCATTTGTCAATTCATTTCTTCTTAAAAAATAAAGATAACCATTAAAATTTAAATTCAAAAGTAGAAATTTTATATGAAAATTTTAAAATTAAATATCCATTTTATTATGTTATTATTATTTTTAATATTTATTATACATTTTATAAATTTATGTTTTGGAAAAAATTGAAAAGATAAACGAAAAAATGGTTGATTTCGTTGTTCTAAAATTTTTATATTCTCCTCAGTGCTTTATTCACCCGATATAAATGCTTAGCTCAACTAGGCCATTGCATGGGACCACGACCAAGTGGCATCCACTTAGATTCTTACAAACATAAGATCAATAAATAGAAATATATTGAAATGAGTCTTAAAAAATAACCTCTTTTCCCATGTTTGCATGATTTGTGTGAAACTAATAGGACCATTTGTGACATTTAACTAAAATATAAGCTTAAATTAAAAAAAATCCAAAATCATAAAAATAGTATTTAACCTAGTGCGATATCTAGAAGTTTGGAAATAGTTATTAAAATAAGATTATATTATTATTTCTAGTCCCTAAGCTTGGTTTAACTTTAAAAAAAAAAAAAAAAACCTTCGTTTGAATTTAATTCTTATACTTCCAAAAGT